GGGCCACCATAGCTCCAAGATGGGCCCCAGATGGGCCAACATAGCCCCAAAATGGGCCCTGATAGCTTCAAGCCGGGCCAACCCACCAACCCCAAACCGTCACGCACAAACCACGACCGACCAACCCCAACCCCCCAGCGCCAACGCACAAACCAGCACTGACTTACCCCAACCCATCCATGCCGTACCTGCAAGCACAACCTACGACCGACCAACGCCAACCCACCAACCCCAAACCCAAACACAGAAACCAGCACTGACCAACCCCAACCCACCAACCACAAACCTTCACGCACAAACCACGACCGACCAAACCCTCACGCACACACCACGACCGACCAACCCCAACCCACCAACGCCAAAGCAGCATCCACCACTGACTTACCCCACCTCACTCATGCCATGCCTGCAAGCACACGCCACGACCGACCAACCCTCAAGCCGGGCCACCATAGCTCCAAGATGGGCCCCAGATGGGCCAACATAGCCCCAAAATGGGCCCTGATAGCTTCAAGCCGGGCCAACCCACCAACCCCAAACCGTCACGCACAAACCACGACCGACCAACCCCAACCCACCAGCGCCAACGCACAAACCAGCACTGACTTACCCCAACCCATCCATGCCGTACCTGCAAGCACAACCTACGACCGACCAACGCCAACCCACCAACCCCAAACCCAAACACAGAAACCAGCACTGACCAACCCCAACCCACCAACCACAAACCTTCACGCACAAACCACGACCGACCAAACCCTCACGCACACACCACGACCGACCAACCCCAACCCACCAACGCCAAAGCAGCATCCACCACTGACTTACCCCACCTCACTCATGCCATACCTGCAAGCACACGCCACGACCAACATAGCGCCAAGATGGGCCAACATAGCCCCCACGATGGGCCAACATAGCCTGAAGCGGGGGCCAACATAGCACCAACCACGACCGACCAACTCCAACCCACCAACCCCAAACCCACAGGCACAAACCAACATTGATCAACCCACCAACCCCAAACCCACTGGCACAAACCAACATTGATCAACCCCAACGCACCCACCCCAGACCCACGAGCATAAACCGACGACCCACCAACGCCAAACCCGCAAGCAGAAACCCCGACCGACCAACCCCAACCCACCAACCCGCAAGCACCATCCACCACTGACCTACCCCAACCCACCCATTCCATACCTGCCAGCGCACTCCACGACCGACCACCGCCAACCCACCAACCCGACACCCAAAAGCACAAACCACCACTGCCCAACCCCAACCCACCAACTCCAAACCGTCCCTCACAAACCACGACCAACCAACCCCAACCTACCAACCCCAAACCTTCACGCACAAACTACGACCGACCAACCCCACCCCCCCAACCCCACAGCACAAACTACCCCTGACCTACCCCAACCCACGAAGTCCATACCTGCAAGCACACACCACGACCGACCACCCCCAACCCACCAACGCCCAACCCAAAAGCACAAACCATCACTGACCAACCCCACCCCACCAACCCCAAACCTTCACGCACATCATCGCCCAACACCGACCGACCGCCTTGCAAAAAGGGCTCAAAACACCCACCAACCCCAAACCCGCACGCATGCACCCCGACCGACCAACCCCAGCCCACCCACCCCGAACTCAAACGTGCCAACCACCACAACCACAACAACATCCACAACAACAACAACAACTACTACTACTACTACTACTACAACTACTACTACACTACACTACTACTACTACTACTACTACTACTACTACTACTACTACTACTACTACTACTATAAACAACAGCAGCAACAACCACATCAACAAGAACGACAACTCCTGTGTCGCTGCAACCATTGGTTGCAGGCTCCGGGCTCTTGCCCTTAGCTATTCCTTGCCTGGCCTGTCGCCTTTCTCGCCGTCCAACGAAAATAGTTGGTTGCACTTGTGCCTGGCATCGGCCGTCTTCGGCGCCTTGGCCGCCCACGCCGCTGTCTGGGGTTCTACATATGTCCAATGTGCACCTGCTATCCACCTGCCCAGCCTTTTGGTCGCCTGAGCCGATGCAGACAAGATATCTTTGTCTTGGTGCCTATTCTGTCCGGTAGTGCCCCCCGACTGTTTCTACCCAGCCGTTGGCCTAGACCATGGCCTCTGCAGGGTTTGCACGCCAGGAAATCCTGCAGGCGGGTGTCCGGTGCGGTGCCAGGAAACATTGACGGTCCTAGCCGTTGGGCTCCCCGCGAAAAAAAAAGAAACCAACGACGGAACCAAAGGTGACCTTATCCAGAAGCTCTTTCTTCGGGTTGTTGTTTCGCTGACCCTGAAAGTGGTTATGCCCCAGACGGACCCGTGGCCTGCATCCAGCGTCCCACGAGGTCGTCTTGCGCCAGCGCCTGGCGTCAACGCGGCGGCGGCAGGGACTGGCGACAGGCGACGGAACCGGCTGCCGCTTCACCTGGTTGAGGTTGGGTCCGAACACGTTGTCCTCCACCGGCTGTGGCGTGACCTGGCGGGAACGCCGTATCCAACTACTAATTCTGGCTAACCTTGCATGCCTCACTAACAGTTGTCATTTCATAGTTGAGTTACGTCCATGAGAGTAAAATGACAGTAAATGAGAGTAAATTACTTTCCCGGTCCTGCTCAACAGACTGCGGCATTTCAAGTGAGTTTGCCCTACCGTGACGGCTGCGAAAACCACCCCCTCGCTACCGACATGCCTGCCCTTTTTTTTCCCGAATCGCGTGTCTTTGACGCTTGGAGTCTGGGTGTCGAAACCCCACTGCAGGACGGGACAGCCGAGTCCTTGTTCTTAGCTAGGTAGGTTGATATGCTGATGGGTCAAGACCTTTACTTGCTTTCAATGCAGTTTACACAGGCTAGGTGCACTGTTCGAGATCTGAACGTGCGACACAACCAAACCGCGGCGTGAGCAACGCTCTAGCACTGCCCTGGGCAACGCCCTGGTTGCAGCCGGTTGTCTGAATTCTCGTTGAGGCACCCAACAAAACGCATGGCTATTTGGGAAATGACCGGTGTGCGACTGCTTTCGGGATAGGTGTCGGGTTCTGGTCTCTTGGGACGTCTGCCGGCAAGGTGCTTCCTACGTTGGCACAGGATTGACAAAACCAAACCGCGGCGTGAGCAACGCTCTAGCACTCCTCTGGGCAACGCCTTGGTTGCAGCCGGTTGTCCGAACGAGCTTTGAAGCACCGACGAAACCGCATGGCTATTTGGGATCTGACAGGTCTGCGAATGCTTTCGGATTACACTGGCAAAAAGGAATGTCCTACGATATGATATGCTGATGGGTCAAGACCTTTACTTGCTCTGAATGCAGTTCTACACAGGCCAGGTCTAGGTGCGACAACGCCATACCGCGGCGTGAGCAACGCTTGAGCACTCCCCTAGGCAACGCCCGGGTTGCAGCCGGTTTTCTGCACTCTCTTTGAAGCACCCAACAAAACGCATGGCTATTTGGGAAGTGACAGGCGTGCGAATGCTGCAGAGATTAGGTGTCGGGTCATGGTCTCTGGGACGTCTGCCGGCAATGTCGTGTCCCTGGGCAACGCCCTGGTTGCAGCTCGTCGCATTGCGTTTAGCTCGGTTGGTTCAAGTAAAGATCAAACACTGGCAAAAGGGCATGTCTTACAATATGATACGGTCCTGTTTGCCCTGAAAAGATGGTTCGTGGATGCATGGGACTATGGGAGGGAAGCTTCGTTACTGGTACGTGCGGTGGGTCATGCGGGGCTTGACTCATCCGTGGCGGTCCAAATGCATGGTATCGGCAGCACTGGCTTCGTGGCGTGTCCTTGGTAGTTGATTCTGCAACGTGTGGCTGAAAACATGGTTGCTTTTGGCCCTTTCTGCCTTGTGGTTGAATGGAACTATGGGACGGAAGATTATGTAGTGGTTTAATAGCTAAGGGCATGCTCTGGGTACAGTGGTTCCTTATGTGTGTTGTGCGTAACTTGACTCATCCGCGGCGGTCCAAATGCATGGTGTTGGCAGCACTGGCTTCGTGGCGTGTTCTTGGTAATTGATTCTGCAACGTGTGGCTGCAAACATGGTTCCTCTCGGTCCTTTCTGCCTTATGGTTGAATGGAACTATGGGACGGAAGATTATGTAGTGGTTTAATGGCTAAGGGCATGCTCTGGGTACAGTGGTTCCTTATGTGTGTTGTGCGTAACTTGACTCATCCGCGGCGGTCCAAATGCATGGTGTTGGCAGCACTGGCTTCGTGTCGTGTTCTTGGTAGTTGATTCTGCAACGTGTGGCTGCAAACATGGTTCCTCTCGGTCCTTTCTGCCTTGTGGTTGACTGGAACTATGGGACGGAAGCTTATGTAGTGGTTTAATAGCTACGGGCATGCTCTGGGTACAGTGGTTCCTTATGTGTGTTGTGCGTAACTTCGTGGCGTGTCCTTGGTAATTGATTCTGCAACGTGTGGCTGAAAACATGGTTGCTTTTGGCCCTTTCTGCCTTGTGGTTGAATGGAACTATGGGACGGAAGATTATGTAGTGGTTTAATAGTTAAGGGCATGCTCTGGGTACAGTGGTCCCTTATGTGTGTTGTGCGTAACTTGACTCATCCGCGGCGGTCCAAATGCATGGTGTTGGCAGCACTGGCTTCGTGGCGTGTCCTTGGTAATTGATTCTGCAACGTGTGGCTGAAAACATGGTTACTCTCGGTCCTTTCTGCCTTATGGTTGAATGGAACTATGGGACGGAAGCTTATGTAGTGGTTTAATAGCTACGGGCATGCTCCGGGTACAGTGGTTCCTTATGTGTGTTGTGCGTAACTTCGTGGCGTGTCCTTGGTAATTGATTCTGCAACGTGTGGCTGAAAACATGGTTACTCTCGGTCCTTTCTGCCTTGTGGTTGAATGGAACTATGGGACGGAAGATTATGTAGTGGTTTAATAGTTAAGGGCATGCTCTGGGTACAGTGGTTCCCTATGTGTGTTGTGCGTAACTTGACTCATCCGCGGCGGTCCAAATGCATGGTGTTGGCAGCACTGGCTTCGTGGCGTGTCCTTGGTGGTTGATTGTGCAACGTGTGGCTGAAAAAATGGTTGCAAAGCCGCGGCGTGAGCAACGCTCGAGCTCTCCCCTGGGCATTGCCCTGGTTGCAGCCAGTTGTCTGTTCTTCGTGGTTCGCCGTGGTAGTGAATTCTGCAACGGGTGGCTGAAAAAATGGTTCATCTGTCTCTGGGACAGGTGCCGGCAAGGAGCTTTCCAGGTTGGCGCTGGCTGCGCCTCGTGTCCTTTTCGGTCGTTGACAAAACGAAACTGCAGGACGGGAAAGATGCTTTACCCTTTGGTTCTGACTAACATAGCTATGTTATAGATGGCCCATAGACATAGATGGGTTACCGACCGTAAGAATGGAGATTTTCCATGTGGCTATGTTACATGACCAGATGGCAAGATGAGTTTACATGATTTTACCGTACATGTTGGCCCAAATATGTTGCAAGTTGAGACTTCAACAAAGTTGCATCCCCAAGCCGAGCCATTGTTTTGAGCCAAGTTGGTTCAAGTAGAGATCAAACACTGGCAAAAAGGAATGTCCTACGATGTGATATGCTGATGGGTCAAGACTTTTAATTGCTCTAACTGCAGTTCTACACAGGCCAGGTGCACCGTTCGAGATCTGAATGTGCGACAAAACCAAACCGCGGCGTGAGCAACGCTCTAGCACTGCCCTGGGCAACGCCCTGGTTGCAGCCGGTTGTCTGAACTCTCTTTGAAGCACCCAACAAAACGCATGGCTATTTGGGAAATGACAGGTCTGCGAATGCTTTCGGGATAGGTGTCGGGTTCTGGTCTCTGGGACGTCTGCCGGCAAGGTGCGTCCCACGTTGGCACAGGATTGACAAAACCAAACCGCGGCGTGAGCAACGCTCTAGCACTCCTCTGGGCAACGCCCTGGTTGCAGCCGGTTGTCCGAACGAGCTTTGAAGCACCGAATAAACCGCATGGCTATTTGGGATATGACAGGTCTGCGAATGCTGTCGGATTACACTGGCAAAAAGGAATGTCCTACGATATGATATGCTGATGGGTCAAGACCTTTACTTGCTCTGAATGCAGTTCTACACAGGCCAGGTCCAGGTGCGACAAAACCAAACCGCTAAGTTGGGCTCCTGTCATAGGTGCACGCTGGCTAGGACATTGCGTGGCTGGTGCTGAATGAACTCCGTGTCCGTTTCTCCGGTGGCTCAATTAAAATGGCTGGGACTCTTCGAGGTGCATGGCTTCCGGGACTTCTGCCGGCAAGGAAAAACCCGGGCAGGCGCTGGACGAACGTCTTTTTTTCGGTTGGCCAAAAGAAACTGCTGCAGGTGAGCATGGACGGTCTGCCTCTGCAGGCGCTGAGTAACGCTCCGCGGGGGTGGGCGTGCTAAGTGGTTTTCTTTTTTTGGGTTGGCCAAAGGACGCTGCCGGGCTGGCGTTCTGTTCCGGTGGCTCCGCCGGCGGCGGCAGCGGTGGCAAGGCGTCTGCTTGGTCGTCCACTTGGATCTTACGGCGTTTGGCCGGTTCGTTCTGTGAGAGCTGGCACGGCTGGCAGGTCCACTGCGGCATGCGTTTCGCATGGTATTTGGCAAGCTCTGCATCGGTATTTCTTGGGCGCGGTCGACCACAGCCAGCTGCACATGGCGGAAAGGCGCACCCGTGGCACCAGCCGTGTGAATGCGGGCGGCCGACCATTGGCTGTTTGCATTTGGCGCACTTGGGACCCCGTTCCGCACACTGTGGGCACGCGGCGTCGGGTCCGCCGCCGGCGTCTTGACCCAAGGGATTGGCTTGGCACATCGGACAGCTTGCTGGGGCGCACTTGTCGCATCGCCAAAAGGGGCGATGCTTGGCATGGTACGCGTGGTCTCCGCCGGGCCTAGCTACTTGTTGGCAACCTGCACACGGTGGATAGGCACAGCTTTGACACCACGTGCCTGGTTGCGAACCTGCTTTCAAACGTTTGTGGCACTGTGGACATCCTGTACAAGCTGGGCACACCCAGACCGGTTTGTGTTTGGCGTGGTACGGGCCTTTGTTTGGCCGTGCCACTTTTTGGCAACTTGCACACGGTGGATAGGCGCAGCTCTGACACCACGAGCCTGGCGTCGCCGCTGGTTTCAAAGGTGTGCTGCACTGTGGGCAGACTTTGGCGGTCGCTGCCTCCAAGTCGGTTGCCTTCCGCCAACATTTGCGACAAATGCCGTCGTTGGCTTTGGAGTCATACTGGCGCAAGTGGGACACGCTGACGAGGTTCCGACACGTGCGGCACTGCCCGGCTTTTGCTTTGGACTTGTTCGGTTGATGCAGCTCGCACTTCATGCAGCATGCTCTTCGTAGGTCTCTGTTTTTTTTGCGGCGTTGAATTTCCGCGGGGCTGAAGTCCGCCAAGGTCTTGGGTTTGAGTTTTCTGCCAACGTCACAGCGGGCACAGGCCAATCTTGCTTCCGACAGGCATTTCTTGCAAAAACCGAATTTCGGAAGTGGGGTCTTGTTGCAAAACGCACACTTGCTGGCGGCGTCGGCTTCGGCGCTGGTGGGGTTCCCGAACGGCTCTGGGTGGCGGCACTGGCTGCACAAGCGTTCCATGCCGAGACACACGATCTCCAACCAAGCATCCGGCTGCCACAAATTGTTCCTGGTGAAGTCGCGCAACGGCAGGAGGCCGTGCCCGCCTTTGGCTTTCGGGGTGCATCCGCGACAAAAGAAAAGAGTCTCCGGATTGCGCTTCCTTTGCACCTGCTCCTGCTCAAACTTGCTTTTGGCGTCCGCCAGGGTCAGGGTCTGCCGATGCACTGCGAGGAACGTATCGGGGCCTATTAGTTCACCTTGGCTTAGAAGATTAGGGGAAAAGGGACGGGCTATGCAGAGGTCTTCTGCTTTTTTTACTCGGGACAGGCACATGTAGGCACTGAGCTGGGAGTCCCGGTTCGCCGCCGTGTCCCAAAATCCTAAGTCCAAACTGCAGGCAGCTAATGTGGCCCCCATAAACGAATGCGCCGTGCCAGCATAATCGCAGGCCAGCGGAAAACCTCGTCTGGCGACCGTGGCGGTGCCGTGGGCTTCGAGCTTCCAATGTTGCACGACCGGGCGAATGCAAGCGACCCCCGGTGGAAGACCTGGGCGGTGCTGCCAGGTGGCACCGGGGATGGCGACAAAGAGGCATGCCGGCATTTTTTGGAGCACCAGCTCCGGCTGCTGGCAGGCCGGGATTGCCGCAATGTCTTCTTCGGCGAGGCTCCACCCGTGCAGGGATCCGCGGGTGTTCTTGAACAAGCCCCAAGGTTTGAGTTCGGGCAAGGTCTGGGTGATGCGCACAGGCATGCCCGGCAAGAGTGGCAACAATCCCATTATCCCTGCTGTCGCCTGGTCATGTCGCTGAAGCCATTGTTCTTTTCGGTGCTGCAGCTCTTGGGCCTCCGTGTCAGGGTCGGTGTGGAAGAGCGGCGTGTCCTGCGCCACGACCCAGAGCAAGAGATGCTGTTGCTCGGCCGCCACCCACCGGGCCCGCAGCAGTGCGGCGACGTACTTGGCAGCATTCAGTCCATGCACAAATGGTGCCTGCAAAAATTTCCTGTCTTTTGGATTGGGCCCAAAGTCGGATGCTCCGGCAACGATGCAGCGCCGCCGGCGTTCGGCCGCGCAGACATCGCATTCTGCTTGGCGCCGATCCTGCCAGGTTCTTGTATTTTTCGGATCCATCACTTCCTTGGTCCACTGCTTGGCCAAGGCATCGCAGGCCGGCTTTTTGCAAGAGCACTTGTTTGTGTGGGGGTTCCACGAGCCAGCGTGCAAGGTCGGGAAGCCGTGCAGAAACGCCCAGTGCTCTTGAGTTACAGCTCCATGTCGGGCGGCATGGAGAATTGCACTTAACCAAGGATCGACACAACGATGCTCTTGGGTGAGTTCGAACAGGTGTTGAATATTACCTCGGTCATGCGTCCACATGACTTTCTGGAGGTTCGCTACTTGAACACTTTGTCCGTGCTTGAAGGGGTTATGGAAGATGGACGTGGCTTTCACGGCAGGGAATTGCCAGCAATCGCCGGCCAGCAGAATGTTGATGCCGGCAAAGGGCCGGGGCGTGCCGGTGGTGCGGCATTTCCACGAATGCCTGGCACGGACCGCTTCTTGCAGGCGTTTTTCTAACACGGCCAGTACTTCCAGGGCTGATGTGCTGCATTCGTCGATGATGAGCCAGCGTAGGTGTTGGTACTTGACGAAGTGATCTGGTCCAAAAGCCGTTTCCTTTTTCTGCTTCTTGCCCTGCACGCGGATATCCGCGAAGGAGTGAATGGTGATTCCATCTATGAGGGCCGCTTGCGTGTTCTGCGGGGCTACGAAGGCAAACTCGTGCAAGTGCTGCCAATCACACACCGTTTCGAAAAACGTGCGAAGCCAGTGCAAGGTTTGGGATTTCCCTGCGCCCGGCACCCCATGCAAGATTGCTCGAAATGGTTCTGATCGATTCTGCTTGTCAGCCCTTTCCTCGACAGCTTCGGCGTGGCACCTTTCCACAACGGCTGTAAGAACTTGCTTTTGTTGTGGGTTGGGGGCTGGCGTCATCCCGGGCCGGTTCAAAGCTTGCAACCACGTCCGGGCCGCGTCCAACCTGAAGGTTCCGTAGTTCGTGGCCACTGGGCGTGGCGGTTGCGCTTGTTGGGCGAAGGGATCTGCGCCAGCTGCCCCGGTTGCTGGTGCTGGGCCGGGGTCTGGCAGGCCGGTCGAGAACTGCCGCGGCCCTTGGTTGCTCGTGCTTGTCTGCGGTGTTGTCCAGTCGTGCACAAGACTCTGGACGGTCTGGGCCGACCGTTTGGAGTATTGGAACCCTTCTCCGGCAGTCAGGCGTTGCACGGTCGTCATGTCAACCCAGCTTGTGTCAACTTCCCTGTCCGGCTTCCTGGCTTCGTCGACGGTTGCTTCCTCGACGTCGTCCAAGAAATTGGAAATGGTGCGGGCGGCATTGGCAGACACGATGTGGTGACGAATGTAGTCGTTCCATGCACTGTGGTGACTGCGACACCCCACTGAAGTTTTTCCGACACAGCGATGGGATGGTTTCTTTTGGCGATCGGATATGGGCATGTCCAAGGCCTGAATATGTGGCACATGCAACGTGGCGTCGTCACCGGCCAGTGTCCAGGGGCGGAGATAGATGTTCAGCAGGCGGGCTTGCTGGTCTTTGCTCATGTCGGCTTTGGGCAGTGGGCACGCTGTTGGGTACGGCACTAAGGGCGCGGCCCGGCGGACAAAGTAGTGGTCCGCTCCTGCGGCGGTGCTGGCACGGCTCGGCAAGGGGACGATGTGTTTGGAGTTATCGGCAAGGATGTGTTGCTTCCACCTGTAATCGCGCCCAAATTGCCATCCGTCTGCCGGTTCCGGACCTGCGCCGCATCCAGGGCACCATTCACTTAAGTCAGTTTCGTGTTGCAAGGGTGGCTGCAGCCGTTTCACTTCCCACAGGGCGGTGAATTCCCAAGGGCTCAAATATCGCACCCGCGGATCTTGACCCCGCCAGCCATAGAGATCGCTGCTTTTGAAGTGGGCCTGTCGGTGATGGGTCGGCTTGACGCGATGCCGCACTTCGGTTGCCTTATCGTACTGAGCTAACCAGTCACTGCCGACAAAGGGAACGACGGCAAAGGAGCGAATGCACTTGGCAGACGTGGGTTCGTCGCCGTCCCAGAAACTGGCCAACATGACTTCTTCCGTCAGGGGGCGGACGGAACAGCGAAATTCCAAGTCACCGCAGACTCGATGCAACACTTTCCGGTAGTGCTGGGCTTCCGCGCCCTTCGCGGGGGTAATGTCGAGATATGACAGGTGCTTGGCGGCTTGTTGTAGCTCTTTCCGACCCAATGGCTGGGGTTTTTGCAAATATCCTGTGAAGTATTGCGTCGCTTTTTTCGTGGCATGCTGCATCAGCCGTTGGAGGCGCTGCAAGGTGGTAGTTTCCAAGCAGTTGCGCTCGCATGCCGGGTCATGCGTTTCCGGCAATAGCGGGATGCGGAAATTGATGCCGGTATGGCTGTTGCCCATGAACATCAGGGTAAATGCATGCATAGTGCCTGACAGCCATTGGTTGTCACGTGGATTGAGGACGCAGCCAAGTGCATTTCGTCTTCCAGCCGTACTCTGACGAAATTTGCGAGCATTCCCCCGGCACACGACGCGCGCCACGTCGCAGATGGTTTTTGGAAAGCCATGCTTGCATTTGTTCGGCGCGTCCTTCTTTTGGCAAGCAGGCAGCGGCACGTGGCACTTGTGCTTGGCATCCCACGTGTGCATATGGTGTTGCTGGTGTGAGAGCTTCACTTGCACTGCTGTCTGGTAGAGTTGCCGGTATCGAATGGCGTCCGTCTGCAAGGCCTGTGGGTTCGCTGCGGCAGTCGGGGCAGCTGCGTTCTGCGATTCGGCAGCATGGGCCGGCGATGAGCAACGCTCTACGCGGAGTGGCCCGCCGTCGGCAACCCGTGGCAGCCACGGCGAAGGCGTGGTGTCTGCGGCAACAAAAGCTGGCCAAAGGCATAACCTGTCATGCTCCGTCCCAAGGAAGTTTTGCATCCACTTTTTTTCCAACGCTGGAAAGAGGGCTTCATGCTGTTCGAGGTTGAAGTGGCTTTCATTGTGCAGCCAGGCTTGGTACCGAAACAGTTCCTCCAGGGTAATGGCCTTAGCTTGTATTTTTTGGGCTACTTTTTTCAGGGGCTGTTGCCACACCGTGGCGACGTACACATTAGCATGAAAATGGGGGTTGCTGTTTTTTTGATACTCTATGGCTCCGCAGAATCCAAGCACCAGGCCAAGAATGCCTCCCATGGGATGTGTCGACTGTCCGAGGGCATCGCGACAGCTGCAATTGGGGCAGCGGAAGCACATGCGGATACCGAGAAGCTCCGCAAACACAAAACGAACCATGCACTGGAAGGCTATGTCGACGGCCCAGGGATCTCGAACGGACGTTTGCCGGCGCGTCTCGTACTCAGGGACTGGCACAATCACCTCGGCTTCTTCCCAGACGCGTGGCACCTGCTTGCCAGAAAGCGGTCCCGCACCCGGGTCGTGCTGTCGGTACCGCGAGAGTCGCAAGCACAAGGCATTGTGCCGCGTCGTGGGAGATAGGGTCATGAAGATGGGTTCACCGAGTTCGACCCGTGCTCCAAAGAGAAAACGGCCAATCCGTCGCCGAACTTCCACTGTCCCAGGCAAGGTCATTTGCGTGTGCCGGATGTCGCGCAGCAGCTGGGCTTCGGGCGCGGTGAGGCCTTCGGCAAACCACAGCTTGCGGGCATCGTAGTTGATTGGCTTCAACGTCTTGCCGGCTGTCAAATACTTGCCTTTTTGCAGTTTGTGATACAAGGCTTTGGCCGCCTCAACCCATTCGTGTGCCGGTGTAGCTTGGAGGGCGTTGGTTTTGGATGCCCAGGCCCGGTACAGCGGCGTTTGGCAGACCGAATGCCATTTGAACGTCAGCCAACGTAGGCCTGAAATTAAATCCCAAGAGTTTCGCAGCGAAGACTCGACGCGCCGGGCTAAGGAGCGCAGGTGTGGGACTGGCCCTAGCACCGCTGCGTCGGCCTTGCGTCGCGGACGATCCTTATTCGGAAAGTCCGGCCCACCGACGGGGGATGGGACACTGAAGGGGAAAGCCCAGGCAAGGTATTCGGTTTGCCATTGGTCCCAGAATTCTGTGCCCGTCTGGATGGTGACCTTCGGGGTGACTTGAGCGAGGCGCGTCACTTCTTGGGTTGTCGTGTCACCTGCCTGGCTGCTGGTATAATCCGGGCTGAGAACTTGTGGTCGGCTGCTGCCCAAGAAGGCTTCCCCGCCAAACTGTGGGAGGTTTGCGGGTTCTGGGGTTGCATTCTTTGTCTGAGGTGGAGTGGGTGCTGCACCAGCTAGGTCGGCTTGCTCTTCGACGGTCACTGGACAAATTTCTTCTGTGCCGTACTCCCGCTGCACTTTGGATCGGAACAGCTGCTTTAGTTCGGCTGGCGTGCCGTCATAGGCTGCGAACATGGGATGGTGTATGTCTACTAAGTGATCTAAGAGGGCAACAACCACATGAGGCCTAAGATGGGCACCGGCCACCCACTCCACGAGCTCAGCATGCCGCATGCCTTTCACCGTGACTTTCACCATTGCGCGCAAGGCAGGGAGCGCATGCGGCAAGGTTGCAATGCGATCGTGGGGTGTCATCTGTGCAAAGTGGCCGTAGATCTCTTCCCATGGCAAGCTCACGGCACTGATGTTGCCGCGGATGGCTAGGCGGTGCTCGGCTCGATGCACAGGCTCCTCTAAGACGTGCCCGCGGTCTGCTTCGAGGTAAAAGCTCACCATGGAAGTCCACAGTGGCGAAGCAGCCGCTGTCTCTATCCATCGCACCCGATGTTGGTAGAGGAGCTCGGCCGGATAGCCATAGAAGTTGTCGTTGCTGAGGGCCGAAGGAATGCCACTAAATCCGCCTTGCCGCATTCGGCTCCAACATGATCGGCACAGTGGCAGCTCGCACTGGCGGCACAGCTGCATGCCAGCGGCAGGGCATGCGCTGCACCGGAGATCTTCCGGGCAGCACAGGATGGACTGCCCTTGAAACAATGTCTGCGGCAAGGTCCGCTGCCATTCAGCTCCGTGGAGTTGCCTTCGGACGGCTGCATGGGAGCCATAGGAAGTGCGATATTGCATCAAATCCCAATTCTGTTGGAAGCTTTCCGGCGTCAAGGCCTCGAAGATGTCTTGCACACTCAAGTATCCAATCTCGCTTCGAGGTCCGCTGGGCAGGACGGCAGCACAGCAAGCACAGATGAGGGCAACGGCTTGCTCTTCTTGTCTTTCAGCATGCAAGCGTCGCAAAGTGCGACGATCCACACTCCAACCAACAGCCGGGACCGATTGCTCTTCGACACCTTTCAAGGCTGCGATGTAAGAACTCACAAGATCTCCGGGGCAGTGCTGAAAGGCGAGTGCATGCTGGCTGCGCAAGTGTGCCCACAGACAGGCAGCGGTGTTGTTGCAGCAGGCTCCGCTGCTGCAGTGCCAAGTGACCCCCTGCACAATCCATCGATCTTTCAAGAGCAATGCGTCCACGCACGGCTGTGCGTCGCTGCACCACGTACAACCTTCAAAGGCACAGTGGCAGGCTGGATACGGGACGCCGGACATGCTGTCGGCTAACTCTTCCGGAACGTGTGGCACGGATGGTGGCAGCAACGGTTTGGTACGAAACTGTCGGCTGATGGTCTGAATTTGTTCCAAGTGTTGATCTTCCAGCGTGCACCATGCACGCTCTGGTTCCAGCGCAAGGCTGGGTGCGGCACTAGAGCCTTCACTTGATTGGTGTGAATTCCACGACACGACACTTTCCGTGTCAGCAAAGCCCACGTCGGACCCGCTGCTGCAAGGTGGCGTGGCCGGTGCGGGCCACGGGTCTTGCAAATGGTCGGATGCCGTCGGATTGCTCGGCTCGGCCGCCGCTTCTGCGGGGGCAGGCGACGCATTCGGCTGGTTGGGTTGCTCTGCCGGCTCGATCCGCGAAGGTTGCACGCGGATCATACCCAAATGCTGTTGCAAGGCTCGTGCCCCCTCCCTGTGCCATATCTGCAACCATGGTGTTGGTTGCCACACCGAAGCGAGTGGCCTATCTTCCCACAGCAAGCTATAGTGTCCGGTGTGACCCATGGGTTGGTGCACCAGGTGCAAGGCATGCGGGTGCAGCTCAGCCAGCCGCAGCGCTTCCGCGTCAGTGACTCGCTCCATCGTTGCAATCCAGTAGTTGGCATCCACGTCTGTACTCCAGACAAGCACTTCAAAGCCAAATGCCTTTGTCAGTGCCCACACCTCCACGCTGGTGCCATGATGGATGCTACCATAAGGATCCTTTAACATAAAATTTTAAATATATCTAAATTTTAAATAGATATTTAAATTTTAATAATATTTAAAATTTAAATATATTTAAATTTTAAATTTAAATATATTTAAATTAAATTTAAATATCGATATTTAAAATTTAAATATTATTCTAAATTATAGTTTAATAAAAGTGAAAATAGAAATTTAAATTAAACATAAACTAAAAGTGTTTCAAATATCTAAACTATATTTCAATTTAAATATTATTCTAAACAATTAAATAATTAAAGCGAAATTATAAATTTAAATCAAATATAAATTGAAAGTATTCACATCTAAACGATATTTCAGTTTATGTGTAATATTCTAAATTACTATATAATAAAAGTGAAAATAAAAATTTCAACTAAATATAATTTGGAATTATTCATATATCTAAACGATATGTCAATTGAAACATTTTTCTAAATTACTATATAATAAGAATTTCAATTTAAGTTAAACTGAATATAAATTAAAATTATTCACATAAACGATATGTCAATTTTAACATTATTAGAATTTTTATGTAATAGAGGTTGAAATATACATCAAAATTAATTATAAATTATAATTATTCAAACATCTAAATCAACTATTCTAATCAAACTCTCAAAACTCTTAAAACTCAAATTGTTATATACGACTCTCAAAACCCTCAAAAATAAACTTGTTGGGGCTCTCGAACCTCTCAAAACTAAAACTGTTACGACTTGCAAAACCATCACAAAAATAAACCTGTTGCGATCTCGAAACTCTCAAAACTAATGAATTCTCAAAACTAGAATTGCACTCCTCAAAACAATATATATATATGCCAATATATGGAAAAACAGACGCGTGCAATCCAAACGCCTTTGCCCGGCGATCCGGTTATACCGCACCGCTGCGTCCAATCGACTCAGCAACATCTGTCATTAATTTGAATTCCTGAGATGAAAGTTTCTACTACCCTTTTCCGTTTCTGAGTTTGCCAGGATGCAAATTGTTATGCACGGTGATCCGTGCAATTAAACCCTCAAAACTAAAATTGTTACAACTCAAAAACCTCAAACCTAAAATTGCTGTGACTCTCAAAAACATCAAAACTTAAATGTTGAACAAAATGAAATGCATGTGCATGTGCACTCATATTCACGCAGACATGGATCAAAAGAGAAATGCCTGACCGACGGCATAGCTCAAATCAAAACAGAGACACGGGCAAAAGAAATAGAAGCTAGCTAAATACCAAACAGCTTCTGGATATGATATATTGAACAGTCGCCCATCTTTCAAAGACTGCGCGCAAGCAGCAAACATTTAAGGTAAAGAACTAAGCTGAAGAAATCTCCGGCTCAAAAAAACATCCAGGTACACCCCAGGCTAATTTTCGCCCCTCAGCGCGCGCGACCGTGCTCCAATTAAAATCCTAAGCGATACTTGGTCATGGTTTTGGTGATACTGGCGAGAGGCTTGGCCCCTTGAACACATTTTAGGACTAGAGTCTTGACCTTTCCCATGAGGTCCTCCTGTTGCATACAACTTCCCATTGCGGGATTTAAATCACAAGATCTCTGCGCTAAATGGTACAAGCCGTGAAATTTTTGGTCATGGCAAAATAATTACCATGATCCGAAAATTCTTCCTTGAGAGCCTGGTACACTCAAACAAATTCCAAAGCAGTTTTCTCCAATGCACCAGCAACCTTAGTTTGGCAAGACTGGAGGGTTTCAAGAGATTGTGGAATTTGGAGATGAATTGAAAAGATTGGAGAGATCGTTGGTTTGGAAGAGATTGAACGGTTTGCATAGGTTTGGAGAGCTGAGAGTGTAGCTTTGAGAGTTTGGAGGGTTTACATAGGTTTTGAGAGCTGAGAGAGTCTAGCTTTGAGAGTTTAACTTGTTTACATAGGTTTGGAGAGCTGAGAGAGTGTAGCTTTGAGAGCTTGGAGAGCGCAGGTGTCTTCAATTGGTCTAAGGGTGAAGCTTGGATTTGAGAGTTCAGCTTTAGGCTATTTAAATTTCTAGGTTCGCACTGCTGCGCACGGCGATCCGCAGCATTAGTTCTGCTACCAAACACATATATATATATATATATATGTATGTGTGTGTGTGAGTATAGGCAATGTTCAAACGGCAAAAGTTATACATATGCTATGGCGACCTAGGCACGTCGGGGGGTAAACAAGGGACATCTGGGTGACGTTGCACAATTTCGTCATACTCTTTTGATCTTGGCAGTACCATCTTCAAAAGGTTGTCACCTCGAGTGTTGGACTTCACAACACACCACAAAGCCAAGATTGGCTCAGTCATACTTCGGTGTTTTTGCTTGATGCGCCGCCTTTGGAATGCAGCAACTGTGCCTTAGCGACCTCTGCTGCAACGTCCTGAGCCATCACTCAGGCAAGTCTCTCCAGCCTTGACGTTTACCCCCTGACAAACCACACACATCCAACCAAAATCCGCCCACACCGCTTTGGCGGTGAAGGCGTGCTTATTGTGGGGAAACAGCTACACTAAATGCTCAATCACATTTGTTAATATAGCAGTCGCTATATCAGCTTTAGCTGGGGGGGGGCCCATGAACGATTTCGCACCGAGACCAGAATTAGGTGGTGTTTTCGACATTTTTCGATGATTTTTGGGTGTCTGAGCGCAAGAGGGTATTGAAATGGAATTTTGGGTCATTTTGGTAGCTTTCCGGCAAGGGAAAAACGGCCAAAAATGAAAAAAACATTGTACATAGCAATATGTAGCAGGGTTTTTGGATGCCAGAGCATTGAAAACACTGCAAAAACGGTGTTTTGGACTGACGTTATAGCAAAAAACGTGTAAATTACATTAAATTACCGTATGTTTGACTGGAAACATTGCAAAAACACTGTCAAAAGCAATGTTTGGGAAGGATTTACTGCCTTTTTGGCAAAAACGTGTAAATTACCGCGTGTTTGACTGGAAACATTGGAAAAACACTGTCAAAAACAATGTTTTGGAAGGATTTCTTATATATATGTTGGAGTTGGCTACCGGCATTGGAACATGGAAAAATTGAAGAAAACACTGTAAATAGCGGTATATTTAACGGCTTGGAGAGATAAGGGAATTGGAAGCATTGTCGAACATGATGTTTTCGACCGGTTTTATGGCGACAAAAGTGTAAATTACCGTGCTTTGAAGGAAACCATTGCAAAAACATGGAAACACATTCAAAGAACATGGGATTTGGGGGGCTATCTAGGCGTCGTTGTCTAGCCATTTGAAGTTCCGCAGCTTGGAGAGCCCCCAAGGGAGGGAACAGTGAAAATTCTATAGCTTGGGAAGCTGTCACGGCGGGGAAAAGTGAAAATTCCCTAGCTTGGGAAGCCCCCACGGGGGGGGAAAGTGACAATTCCCTAGCTTGGGGAGCCCCCACGCGGGGGAAAAGTGAAAATTCCCCCGCTTGGGACGCCCCCACGGGGGGGAACAGCGAAAATTCCCTAGCTAGGGAAGCCTCCGCAGGGGGCAAAGTGAAAATTCCCTCGCTTGGGAAGCCTCTACGGGGAAAAGTGAAACTTCTTAGCTTGGGGAGGGAAAAGTGAAAATTAAATTCCCTAGCTTGGAAGGCACCCACGAGGGGGCGAAGCGGGGTGAATGAACAATGACTTGGGATGTTCAGTCTTCATATTTTTTGAAAGTAGTTACATCCAAAATCTTACCTATATATATATATATATATAGACACATATTTTTTGTGGGGGGTTCCCCAGCCTTGAAATTATTGACAAAATAGCGCCAACCACCCAGAGCCAATGCATCACTAGAGGAGTGGTTTTCCCAAATTTATTTAGAACAAAAAGTGCAATCCTACCCACAGTTAATCAATCACTTGGGCCCTCCCTAATTTCAAATCTATGCCGTGGAAAAAAACGATCCAATTGTTTTGCATGACTCGGGGCTTCCCAGCCATCAAATTCCTTGACATAAGAACGGAAAAATCTATCCCAGGAAGTATGTGTTTGATATTTTTTAAAACAATAACAATATGAAAGAAAAACATGTTTTTTCAACAAATGCCAAAGCTTGGAAAGTTTGAAGTATTGAGGTGCCAATTTGGTGTAAGTTTGATGTAAGCTTACACTTCATGGGATTCATGGGTGGTAAATTTACAACAAACTTACATCAGACTTACATTTATGAGGTGTAAGATGTAAACTTACGCCCCTGAAGTGTAAGTTTACACCAAACTTACACTGGCAAGTGAAAATTGCACTTGCAGGTGTAATTTTGATGTTAATTCACGGTTGCCAATGAAACCCTGGTGTAAACTTACACTTCAGGGGCATAGGTTTACATCAAGTTTACACTTCATAAGTGTAAGTTTGATGTAGGTTTGATGTAAGTTTGGTGCAAATTTAAACCCCATGAAGTGTAAGTACATCAAATTGACACCAAATTTAGACTTCAATACTTCAAAATTACCACAACCCATGCATTTTTGATTTGAAAACATGATTGAAATGTTAAACATGTTTTATTTCAAAACACATGGCTCTTTCAAAAAATACGTCCTTGTTCCAAAAATATGATCAAACCATTGTATTTTTTCAGATAATATCAAACACATACTTCCTGGGAGAGATTGTTTCATGTTTATGTCAAGGAAATTGATGGCTGGAAAGCCCGCAGTCATGTAACACAATTGGAGCAATTATTTCCATCAGATACATTTGAAATCTACAAAGGCCCAAGTGATTGATTAACTGTGGGTAGGATTGCATGTTTTTTTGCAAAAATAGATTCGGAAAGACTCCTCTAGTGATACATTGGCTCTGGGGTGGCACTATTTTTTCAGCAATTTTTAAGGCTGGAGAACGCCAATATATAGGTAAGATTTGGATGTAA